TTTTTTGTTTTTAAAGAATTTTAACTTTTTTATTTATTGTTTCTAAGCATGTTAGCTTTATTGTAATGGTTTTATTTAAAAATGTGTTTTTTTTAAACTGCTCTCCTATAACCACCCTGAATTTCTTCAGGGGAAAAGGAGAAGTGTAGAAAATTATAGTCTTTTGGGAATCTTATCAGTGCTTATAGGTACCTGGTTGGTCTACAATGCTGGAAGAGATGTGATCTAGCAAAGTACAGGTAGTCCCCAGTTTAAGAACGAGTTCCGTTCCCAAGGTCTGTCCTTAAGTCAAATATGTAATGAACTCAAACCATTGTGTATTTAACTTGATATAGTCTTTTGGGAATCTTATCAGTGCTTATAGGTACCTGGTTGGTCTACAATGCTGGAAGAGATGTGATCTAGCAAAGTACAGGTAGTCCCCAGTTTAAGAACGAGTTCCGTTCCCAAGGTCTGTCCTTAAGTCAAATATGTAATGAACTCAAACCATTGTGTATTTAACTTGAATCATTGTGTATTTAATTCGAATTTGGTATACTAGGCTCTGTTCTTAACTATGGGTAATCCGTAAACTGGATGTTCTTAACCCAGGGACTACCTAACTGTGTTCTTAGTCTCAGTGTATTGAACAGGGCTGCAGTCTTCAAGCCCTACGTCTACACTTGTATTCTCTCAAACTCATCTCTGCTTGTGCCATTTCCTTCTTGCTGTTTAGACCCAAGAGTAAACATTGTCAACCTTCATTTTTATGTTCAGGTATGGAGAAATTGTGAATATAAACCTGGTACGTGATAAAAAGACGGGGAAATCCAAAGGTTTCTGCTTCATTTGCTATGAAGATCAGCGAAGCACTATTCTTGCAGTTGATAACTTTAATGGGATAAAGGTTAGTTTAGCCCTTGGAGATGCACACGTATCTGGGAATCCTCTGGGCCTTTTGCTGCTCAGGTTGGGCTGTGATATAGTTTCACACAAAGTGTATATTGAGAAACACCAAGGCCTCTTATGAAAGGACGTAGTGAATTTATGCAGGGCTTCAGGGATTGTGGCAGAAAGGGAGCAGCAGGCAGAAAGTCCTCTTTCTCCTATCAGCAAAAATGAAGCCTCTTTCATAATAGTCCAAAGATGATCTCAGGCTTCACAGTTTCTTAAGCCAAAATCCTAATTTGCTTGTATTTGTGGGCTTCCTGCTCACCTAGTTTCAGTGGAGAAAAAAACATTCATAGCTTAAACTCTGGTTATTTCATAATGTTCACAGATAAAGGGAAGGACAATTCGTGTGGATCATGTGGCCAACTATCGCCCACCAAAAGACTCTGAGGACACTGATGAGGTTACAAAGGCCCTCCGAGAGAAGGGATGTGGCATTAAAACCCCTCCTCCAAGTTCAGCTGAATCCTCAGAAGATGGTGAAGTGGAAGTAAAAAAGCACAAGAAAGGTGATACATCTTTTTCTTTCTGTGGCCAGAGTTACACAACCTGGGAAGCTAATTGTTTGTTTAATCACATTTGATTAAGTCACAACTGACTTGATTCACACAATATGCTGTGCTATAATGTGCCTTGATTTAACCAGGCTGCTGTCTGTCTGTGTGCTGTGTGTAAATCTCAATAGTTCTAAAACTATGGAAGCTTCTGGATGTAGGAATCCACAATGTGTGTAGTGTTTCAATGAAAAAGCATCTCTGGAAGTCCAGAATCCTGTTACTTTTCTGCTTTTGAGTTTTATGTCTGACTAGACTAGATTGTACTTGCATCGTGATACATGTGATGTTTCAACCTTTTGATTAACTGGAGTGTTTTGAGAAGATGCAAAGGAACCTTGGGATGAGTGAAAAAAGGCTGATTTTTTAATTTTTAAAAACTTGTTGCAATGCAAGATAAAATAGAGCAGTGTTTCTCATTCTAAACAACTTTAAGATGTGTGTGCTTCAGCTCCCACAATTCCCCAGCCAGAATTCTAGAAATTGAAATCCACACATCTTAAAATTGTTGAGATTGAGAAACACTGAAGTAGAGAGTGCTAGTCATTGCTGTTAGAGGAGGCATAATAAATATAAGGGTTAACAGTCAACATTTCTGGGTAAGCAGGAGAAATACAACATTAAAAAAGATCAGTGGATTGGGGAAAGATGGTTTTAGGAGCATTTCCTGTCAAATAGCTTGGAAAGAAAATCATGCAGCTTGAAAGCTAGAAAAAGATTATTGGAAAAATGGAATACCAGGAAATTAAGCAGGCACTGAAAAGCCTCTGAAGGAGATATTTTGATTGCACTTATTGTACTTTCAGAAAAAAAGAAAAAGAAGAAGAAGAAGAAAGAAAAGCGAGCGCATCGGAAACATCTGAAAGAGGAACCTTCTGCAGATGTGCTTTTTTCCAAATCCAGGATTAAAGTGGAAAAGGAGGACCTGGGCTACGAACGCTATGCTGGTACAAACCGGGAAACCTGGGGCAGCACATCTGGACACCAGCACCCAAGCAGGATGCAGCAAGGGCAAGAGCCCAAATATGAGAGTAGGAGAGAGCGATCTCGAGAAAGAGGCACAGAGAGGGACAGACACGAACGCAGAATGCCCTTCAGCGAGGAGAAGTACAAGAAAACGGAGGCCATCAAAGATAGACAGTACGCAGCAGAAAGCAGAAGATCACGCGATCGCTCAGAAAACAGAGACAAGCCTTCCCGGGAGAAGTCCTCAAGCCATTATTAACTCAACTGCTGTGTTCCCTCCTTGCACGTGAAAAAGGGCCGTTGTAAGTTGTACTGTCAGAACATTGGCTCTATGAGATAGGCAGGGGGAGAATGCAGCATGAAACCTTGGAAACGGAGGAGCAAGTTGTGGTCTGTTCTTTGGAGCAGTGGTTTGTCTCTCCAGAAAGGAAAACCGCAAGAAACAAAACAGAGCTGCTCTTTTGCCTCCCAGTTGCAGATAATGCCTGAATTCCAGGTACAGAGCAGCAGTGTGAGCCTTCCATCCCCCACTTCAAAAGCTAGGCTTAATAAATTCACCTTGAACTGTTGCCAGGGTCTGCAGCTTCCCATGCCAGCCTCGTTTCTGCTACTTGGACTTTTGCATTGATCCTTCTTAAGTTGCAATATAATTGTATAGCAAGGGATGGGCAGCCTTTTCAAGGGAGGGGCTGCATTCCTTCAAGTAAGTGGTCAGGAGTGGTGGACTAGACCAAAGCAGAAGGTGTGGTCCATGTCCTTTCTCATCCCCTTGATTCATCCGTTCATCCTCTCTCACACATGCACCCACACATCTCTCTTGCCTCCTCTCTTCTGTGTGTGTGTGTATCTGTCAGCTTGCATTTTCTCACCACCTCTCATATTGTCTGCCTGCTCCTTTTTTGCTTTATTTTTTCCTTTTTTTCAGGCACTTTTTTTTTTTAGCAGTGATGGAAAACATACACAACATGCTGCTTCTGTTTCTGTTTGCAGCAGCAGCTGATTTTTTTCTGATAAGGGAGATGTGCCAATTGCAGCCTTATCAGGGGCAGAAGGCCCTGGCAAATGTGACTTAGGCCCTTATCACAAGTAGACGAGGCTACTGAACACATTTTACATGCACTTACTTTTGAATATTAGCCGGAAACTGTAAATCGATACAAAATGCAACCACCACCTGTTGGGGGGTGGGAGCCCGTTGTGAGCACTGCATTGGCTTCCCGGCGCAGTTCAAAGTGCTGGTTGTAATTGATAAAGCCCCACAAGCTGCTGGTCCCAGATTTCTTCAAGGCTGCCTCCTCCAGGTGAAACCCACTTGTCCTGGACTCTTCTCCCAAGTGGAGATGCAAACATTAGGCGAGGTGAGGGGGTGGGAGCTCAGCAATAATGTGTTTCTGTGGGGGGCTCCCCCCTTGCAGAACAGCCTCCACCTAGCACCCTGGTTGATATTCACCTCGGCATCATTGCAAAAGGCAGTTAAAACTTTTCTGTGGGGCTTTCAAGGTACAGCTGCTGCTATGCACATTGGGGATGACTTCTGCAATGGTTACCTTATTGTTCATTGAGGGTTGCATCTTTGTAATTTTAAAATGTTTGGTTTCTCTGCTGAAAAACTGCCATGAGCTGGTCTGATTTGACGGTACATAAATAGGCTGAGCAGAAGAAATATGCAGGATGTGAATTGGCAGCCAAGGAACCAGAGCAAAAGTTCCCAAGCCCAGGGCTGTATTTAGTCCCAAAAAGGCTTATCGTGACCTTAAAGAGCTCCAAATTATATTTATCAAATTGTAAATCTGAATATGTCAGCAGAATATGTCAGTTTTTAAAGACAGAGACTAAAGTATTACTGTATTATGTATTCGTTATATTTACTTTTAATTTAAAAAATAGTGGAAATCAGATCCATTAATTTGTCTTGACTCCACCACCCTTTTTGGGAGCGGGCCCTGGTACATAATTAAAAGTACAAATATAACAAGCTGTGTACCTCCACCCTAAACAATCAAGACCTGACATGTTTAATCAACCCAGAAGACTTTCACAGAAGATAATGTGTTTTGGATATAAATTATGTCTTTGTAATCTTTGAACCCTGTTCCCCTCCCCTACACAGATAATGAGAAGAGAGTAATTGTATTTTTAAATAATATTTTGATTAAGGGACCTAAGGTTACCCCCCCCAAAAGAATAAAACAAAAAAAAGAAAACCTGTTAACTTCATTTACCTATTGAGAAACTCTGATGTATGCTGAAGCCAGACTTCCCACCAAACGAGTTGCTAGGATGGCACTGATGCTACTAACAACTGAATTAGCTTTCTGTTGTTTTATTGACGGAAGGGAGGGTGCATTTCTCCTTGCCTCCAACTAAAACAATGTGCCTCAGAGTATTGTCGAAGGCTTTCACGGCCGGAATACAATGGCTGGTGTGGGTCTCCCGGGCTGTGTGGCCGTGTTCTGGGGGTTTGGGTTTCTCATGGTTTGCCAACATCTTCGG